ACTTCCATCCTCTGCAGCCTTAGCTCCCTGTTAGTAAGGTCTGCAAGTACTTGCGTTCTCTTCGGGTGATTATTTAATCTTACTTTGCCCCTACTCAGTAGTCTTTTTGTTTAGAGCAGGAAGTAGCTGAGAGTAAAATCTACCATGCTTTGTTCCATTCTCTTATTTTTAGCAAAGAAGTTGCCAAAGAGTGAACCCCAGAATCTAGGGGGTGCAGCAGGCCGGAGTCGAGGCGTGGATCTTCATGAGCAGTCCCAGCAGAACAAGAGCCAGTGTTGTAGCAACTGAGGGTGGCTAGCAGCAGACAAGTGTGGAGTTGGCGCGAGAGCTAAGACATAACCTCCATCCCCACCCCTCAGCACACAGCCCCACGGTAACAGCACAGAGCCCTGGCTCCCAAGGCTGCACCTGACAGCTCTGTCATGGCACTTTTTAATGCTTCAGCAACCAACACCAGGCAGCTGTTGCCACCACTATGCCCTACTCTGGGGTTTGGGGGTCAGATCTCCCCAGGACCTTCCTTCCAAAACAAACTTTCTTCACTTTGTATTCTAGGTGCAAGACAGTGGCCTCCTCATTGTTACTCCCCTACTGTGTTCTTCCCGTGTTTCAGGGAAGACTTTTGTCTCCTGCCTCTTCCCTGTCCCACCTCTCATCACTCCCTGTCCTTGATCCTGTTTCCTCCTCTTCCCAAGATGATGAAAGGTAAACCAGGGACTGAGAAGGGAGACAGTGTAATTTTAGTTACATTAAGGGCCCTGCAGGGACGGTAAGGCTCAGAGCAGGAAGGAGTAAGGAAATACTTGTTTGTTTTATTTATCTGGTAGGAGTTTGTCTGTGAGACACTGCAGCACCCATCAGTTGGACTGGTGGACGGTGTTCCTAGGTAGGAGTGAGATAGGGAGGGAAGCCTGCAGGCCCCGTCTGGGAGTTGAATTAGCTGATTGGATAAAGGTTGAGATGCAGTGTCATCTGTGGCTCTGGAACTCATCCCAAAGCTGTTTTCCCTCACCCACTCACCCCCACTCCAGTGTGGGGATTGGACCTCCGAGTGCTCCAAAGAATCTTCACTGGTTGCCTGCACCCTTAGCTCTGCTGTGAGTAATTGGGGGAGGTACCAGTTTCTGGTACCCATCCTCTGGTTATACATAGGCATTTCCCTACCCTGGCCTTGACATGGCCTTCGCCCCAGACGCCATGCCCCTGCAGTTTGCACTTTAATTGATGGTAGTTCAGTGAGCATACATGTTTTACGGGGGTTTTGATTGATTTACCTATCCTTCAACCTTTTTAATTAAATGGAATGTACAATGTATGAGGTTTGGGGGGCACTATAGAAAACAGTAACAGTAGCAGCTACTCGAGCCCAGTCTCCACTGCTAGCCTCCTCTGACCGATTCATGCCTCTGTCTGAGCAACTGCTGAGTGGCCTCAGACAGCATGGGCCATGGTAGTGGAGTGAAGGAGGGTCAGGCAAAGGGAGTGTCTTATCTTCCCAGGGTTCACATTCACCTTGCTACATCTCACCGTGTCTTTTCTACTTCCCTGTAAATACTTAGTCTTTATTCCCACTGTACAGGCCGGTCTGTCCCCTGCTGCCCCTTTTTTCTTAGTATCTTGAGTTAGTTCCTCCTTCACCCACCCCCAACTCTTACTTAATCCATGCACCACTAGAGGCTCCTGCCACAGAGGCCACTTGTCCTATGACAGGCGCAGCTAGAACCGAAGGTGCCTCACAGCTGCCCTGTGTCATCAGAGGGTGTGGTCCTTCCCAAGTCTCTGGCTTCTACATCCTTCCTTAGGTGTTTTAGAGTGTCTGTGGGAAGCCATCAAGGCAAGAGGGAATTCAGTTGTTTTGTGTGTTAGCCAGAATTTTTGGGAAATTTGCGGAAGAAAGGAAAGACCACAGTAACTTAGAGTTAGAGCCTTTCTGTCCCTTGGCTGACAGACTACCTTTTGTTCCAGAGAGCTGAGGAATCCATGAAGCCAAGATTCTCAAGGACCCTGCTCAGGGTCTTCCACTTAGGCTTCAATTCTCTTTCTTTTCCAAGGGCAGCCTTAGTTCTCACAGCCCTGAAACACACTTAAGTCTCCAACTTTTCCTAGAACCCGTGAATCCTCCAAAGCACCAGGTGCGTCTGGAGACTCTGGGGAGGCTAAATCTTCTCTGCAGTTTCGGCAGGGGAGGGGGGGGACAAGAGTGAAGGTGTTTCATTGCCTAGGGGCTGGGAGAACAATTCTCTGGGCTTTCCTCCTCCCTCCCTCCCTCCCTCCCTTAGGAACAGTGTTGGCCTTAGCTCCCGGGCCTGGCTGCTGCCTCCCCTCTATCTACTCCTACCAGCTCTTCTGCCTTCATTTGAGCTCTGTTGGGCTTGAGGGTTCTTGTTGTTCTCTACCCGTCCTCCTGTTATCTTTTTTCTTTTGATCAATTTTTGGGGGGGAGGAGTCATCCTTTTTTTTTTTTTTTGCCTTCATTTTTTTCCTAAGAAAGCATTTGCGTTTCTTTCCCTCTCCTAACATAACAATCGTGGTAACAGAATGCAACTGCTGATTTATCGATGTATTTAATGTAAGTAAAAAAGGAAGAAAAGAAAGTGCACTGGACTCTTGCTTTGTTTTTACCATTTGTCTCCTGAAACAAATCAGGAAGGAAGCCGGGCGGTGGCGGGCACGGGCACGTTTAATCCCAGCACTCAGGAGGCAGGCGGATCTCTTGAGTTCGAGGATAACCTGGTCTGCAGAGCAAGTTCCAGGACAGCCAGGGCTACACAGAGGTACCCTCTCTTGCAAACAAACAAACAAAAACTGGGAAGAAAGAACCCAGTGAGATACTATGGAACCTCTGACATACCTTCCTCCCCATCTTATTAATGGCACCTCATTATTTTCTCTAACCTTTTCTTGGACACTTGAAGAACCAATTTGGAAAATAACCTTTGTTTTGTGAACTGTTCCCGCTCAAAGACATGATAACCTATCACATATGACTTCTATCGTTCTTGTGTGCACTGGTGTGGTCTGAAGATCTCTCTCGGAGTTTCTTGAGACTGGAACAGGAAAAGTAAAGGTAGTGGGGAGATGGCTCAGCAGTGTAAAGCACTTGTTGCTGTTGCAGAGGACCTGGTTCAATAACCAGCACACACAGGGTGGCTCACAGCCGTCCACAACTCCAGTTCCAGGGGATCACACATGGTACACATCTGTAAGACAAGACAGCTGTGTATGGTGACCTGTACCTGCTGTAAGAGTGAGTTTGAGGGGATCCTCAGTTTAGCAAGTTCATATCTCCAAAAAGGAAGAAAAAATGATGACTTAATTAACTTACCTTCAGCCCTAACACCCCCCCCCCCAAGAGAAAAAATTCTTGCCTGGATCTGTTTCTTATTTCTGCTTGAAGTTCTATCATTCGTCACAGTCCAAAGGAAGCTGAAACACAAGAAGCAAGTGAAACGGGAGAATGGGTATAGTTCCAAGAATCTCAGGTTAGAATGTTCAGAGCACTGGGGTCAGGCAGCCCTTTCTTTCCAAGCCGACTCTCCTGATTCACCAGTCTCTCCATCTGTGAGATGAGTGTGAAGGTTGAGCCAGGTTGTGGATCCTCAGGCACATCCCGAGTCTGAGACAGCTGAGCTACAGGAGATGCTAGCTTGATCAAGTAAAACTGGGTGGTGTTTGTAGATGGGGGGAGAAACCATACCAAGTAGCATTTACTTGTTTGACAGGGTCTTGGTATGTATATCGTCCAGGATGGCCTTAGCCTCCCTAAACTTACAACACCAGCTGAAACTTGAGCAGCCATTAGGATGACCTTCACAAAGGCTGGAACCTTTCCGTTCTAGAAACTTTAGAGCCAATATCACCTTTTCACCATCATGTTTCCTCTTGAGTATACTCCCTGCTCGGGGTCCCTGATTCTGCTCAAAAGTCCTGTTTGGAAAACTAAAGGAAAAAAAAATCTTCTGGAATGTTTTGCTTTAAATTGATGTTTGTAGCTCAATCTCTGATCTCTAGAGGGCAGTCTAAGAATGTTTGTACCGGGCACACGAGCAAGTCTCTAGTAACTGGTTAAGAGTGAAGGAATTTATTCTATTAGTGTCCTTTACTTTGATATACAAGACCATAATGTTCATACTTTCGTTAAACTGCCATTTTTTTGTTAAAGTGCGTATTTGTTTTTTGTTTGGTTTTGGTTTTTCAAGATAGGGTTTCTCTGTGTAACAGCCTTGACTGTCCCTGAACTCACTCTGTAGACTAGGCTGGCCTCAAACTCACAGAGATCCTCCTGCCTCTGCCTCCCGAGTGATGGGATTTAAAGGCATGCGCCACCACGCCTGCACCCACCCCCCCAATACACACAGAAAAATTTAAAAGATGGTTTTAAGGATTGGGAATGGTGGTGCACACTTTTAAGCCCATCACTCAAAAATTCTGGGCCAGCCTGGTCTACAAAATCAGTTCCACGCTAGCAAAGACCACAGAAAGACCTTGTCTCAAATAAAAGACGGATTTTCAGTGCTGTTGGTTTCGCACTTCAGAAATTCACTATGGGAGCCTTCGAGTCACCATTTTAAGGCGCGTCATTTCTTCTGTTATTTTTGGCCCTAAAACAAGCAGGCCTCAACAGTTGCAACGCCCTAAACAACTGCAGAGGCGCGGGACATACCCACAGACCTCCCGGGGAAACTAGCTTTGGTCCCCATCGTCGCGGTCGCCTCGGGACCCTCGTCACCTTCATCAGTGAGGCCTCTCATTGCCCTGCGTAGCTGCGGTCGGCTCTGGTCATCAGTGTGTGTCCACTGCCCGAGGAGGGAGAGGTCTACAGCAGCCAGGAGCTGGCGGCGCCCCGCCCCCCGCCCCGTATCCGGCGACCCCGTGACAGCTGCCAATCCTCAGGAGCAGCCGCGAAGCTAGGGGCCAATGGCTGCGGCGCGGGCGAGGGGCGTGAGGACGCCTGCACAACCGTGCACGTCACGGCCAGGCCCCGCCCCGCCCCGCCCAGCCGCGCGGGGAGCTCTTGCCCCGCATGGGGCGGGTGAAATTGTTCCGCTGCGGACACCGAGCCGGGTAAGGGGACCCTGCCACCGGGAGAGACAGGAGGGAGAGCAAGAGTGGGACCAAGACGGTCAGTGAAGTTCCAAATCTTAGGAATAGCAAAAGGACCAGTACCTCCTTTTACGATGTCTGGGTGCTCCTGGGGTCGCAGGGCTACCTTCCAGGTCGAATTCTGGACAGACACACCCACCCACTTAAAGTGTCCCGGAAAGTAAGGAGCTCACACCAAAGAGTGGCATTTCGGTATTTAGCAGGCCACCGCTCCCAAGCCTCGGACCGAGCTGGTAAAATCGGGTTGCTGAAATTAAGAGTACATGGCAGAAAGAGTACAGGTCCCCAGGACCCAGACATGAAGAGCAGTAGAATTCTCATCTATTTCCATCTTCCTGGCTCCCCCATCCGTAACAACCCCACCCCTAGCATCCCAGCAACCCGCAGCTTCATACCCCTCTCCTCTTTGACCCTCCTGGGTCAGAGAGGCACTGGGCTGTGAGGAAGACACCGTTGCGGGACAGAGAGCAGAAAAATTAACTTCCTCCTCTAGCCCATCCCCTCACACCCTGGCCATTGACTTCTCTCAGTTCGTTGAGGACACTACCAGGTTAGGGTGGAGACGCTGCCTTGGGGGTTCAGTTCCTAGACGGGGTATTTATTTTAGAGGGGGTGGAGGGAGAGACCTGCGAATGAATGTTATTACTTGTTTACTCTTCATATCAGGTCCTCTGGGTAGAGATGATACAAGTTCAGAGAGGCCTGCTGTGTTGCCCGGGGAGCCGGTTAACTACAAGGCCTGGTTGTATAACCCCAAGGCAGTTTGCTTCAAAGATTTGGACTCCTTCACCCCGTTAGGTTCCTGCTGCTTCTTGTCTCTATTTTCATCACCCACACTTTAGAATAATCACTACCTGGGGGCTGGAGGTACAGAAGCTCAGTGGTAGGGCATATGTCTAACTAACATTCTCAAGGCCTTGGGGTCAATACCCAGTATCATTTCCTTTTTTTTTTTTTTTAATAATTGGTAAACCATCTGTCCTTAGGAGCGTTGACCTGGGGCATTGTTCTAGAAGCCGGTGTACTTTCCCACCCCACTCCTCCCCCACTCGCGCTGAAGTGCTCCAAGTTTACTCCCAGAACCCACTGGGACCCCGGATTCTCGGGTCTCCCAAATGTCCCCTCACAGGTATTTTCTTGTTTTGAAACGCAGAATCTTCTTCCTATAGGTCTGCCACGATGCTGCTGCGGCTGTGCAGAACGCTGGTGGTGGGATTTCCGCGGGCGGACAGGTAGGCTGTCCCAGCCCACACTATCACCCAACCAATCTCGTAGTTACTTACGTGGTAGATATTTATCTTATCTGGAAGATAAGGCAGCACAGAGATGACCCTGAAGGAATGAGAAAGCTGCAATTCACTGGTCCTACCCATCCGGAAGAAACTAAACCCCAACTGAAAACCAGTGACTAAGTAGGGAGAGGCAGCCGCAGACTTTCCCTGGTTTTCACTGATCTTTCCTGAGGCTAAAGATCTTTTTCTTCCAGAGTCAAGCCAACCCCCTCGAGGCTCTGCATCCCAGCGTGCTCCACGAATGATTCATTTAAACCCCTGCACCCCAGCCTCACCTGTCCTGATGAGAACTCGCGATCTCGGGGATGGAAAGTGGTGGGGGCCCTGCTAGGTCTGGGTGCAGCGCTGGCCTACCATGACCATCGTTGCAGGGTAAGCAGGAAAGGGGCTCTGACTCCGTACACTGGAGAGATATTATCTGCTCCCTCCATTTCCCAGGCTCAGTCTGTGGATGGGGTCAGAATGGCCTAGAGTGATTTCACGTCTCTTCCTTTTGCCTTCTCCCTTCCCTGTCTGTAGGCTGCTCAGGAATCACCCCGGGTGTATACCAGAGAGGAAGTGAGGTCCCACAACAGCCTTGAAACTGGAGTCTGGGTCACTCTAGGCTCTGAGGTCTTTGATGTCACAAAATTTGTGGACCTGCATCCGGGAGGCCCGTCCAAACTGATGTTAGCAGCTGGGGGTCCCATAGAACCCTTCTGGGCCCTCTATGCGTTTCACAACCAGCCCCATGTACGGGAGTTACTGGCTGAGTATAAGATTGGGGAACTGAACCCTGAAGATAATGTCTCCCCCACCTTGGAGGCCTCTGACCCTTATGCCGATGATCCTAGCCGTCATCCAGCCCTGAGGATTAATAGCCAGCGCCCCTTTAATGCAGAGCCTCCTCCTGAACTGCTAACAGAAAACTACATCACACCAAACCCTATTTTCTTCACGCGGAACCACCTGCCTGTACCTAATGTGGACCCAGACACCTATCGCTTGCATATAGTAGGGGCTCCTGGAGGTCAGTCACTGTCCCTGTCCTTGGATGATTTGTATAAGTTTCCCAAACATGAGGTCACTGTCACTCTGCAATGTGCTGGCAACCGGCGCGCCGAGATGAATAAGGTTAAGGCGGTGAAGGGTCTGGAGTGGCGGACAGGAGCCATCAGCACTGCACGCTGGGCTGGGGCACGACTCTGCGATGTGTTAGCCCAGGCTGGCCACCGACCCCGCGAGACTGAGGCCCACGTCTGTTTTGAGGGACTGGACTCAGACCCCACTGGGACTGCCTATGGAGCATCTATCCCTCTGGCTCGGGCCTTGGATCCTGAAGCCGAGGTCCTCCTGGCGTATGAAATGAACGGTCAGCCTCTGCCTCGTGACCATGGTTTCCCTGTGCGGGTGGTGGTTCCCGGTGTTGTAGGTGCCCGCCAGGTCAAATGGCTCGGCAGGGTAAGCGTGGAGTCGGAGGAGAGCTACAGCCACTGGCAGCGGCGGGATTACAAAGGCTTCTCCCCATCCGTGGACTGGGACACGGTAGACTTCGATCAAGCCCCAGCGATTCAGGAGCTGCCTGTCCAGTCAGCTATCACAGAACCTCAAGATGGGGCAACTGTAGAATCGGGAGAGATGACTATCAAGGGTTATGCGTGGAGCGGCGGCGGCAGGGCCGTGATTCGGGTGGATGTGTCTATAGATGGTGGACTAACCTGGCAGGAAGCTCAGCTAGAGGGAGAGGAACAGTGTCCCCGGAAGGCCTGGGCTTGGCGAATATGGCATTTGACAGCTCAGGTGCCGGCAGAGCAGAAGGAATTGGAGGTCGTTTGTAAAGCTGTGGATGACAGTTACAACGTGCAGCCAGACACTGTGGCCCCCATCTGGAACCTGAGAGGCGTCCTCAGCAATGCCTGGCACCGTGTCCGTGTCCGTGTCGTCCCATGAAAGCATCGAGCAGAGCCACCTGTACCCAGAGAACCACCTAAACTCCCTTCTAACCCATCTTTAATCGTCGTCATAGAAAAACATTTCCTTCTGCCTCTTGGGTCACAACCCTGTGTTTACTGTGTCTTAAGCTGTGCCCAGGCACACGTGCTCCTGGCCTCTGACCCTGTGCCAGGAAAGAGAGCTGTTGGAGACTCTGGCGGTGACAGCAGTTCCGAAGACGTGTTCCTCACCCAACCGCACCTCGGCTTCTAAGGCCTCCCCAGCCAGGCCTTCTTCAGCCAAGTGTGCCGGAATGTGTAACAAGCGTACTTTCCTATCTTCTGCTGCCTATGGGATGCCAGGGGTTCCCCCTTAGGGCTCTACTTTTGAGAAAATACACCAATAAAGTGCCTGTTTAAGATTATGCCTGGGACCTCTTGGGTGCAGTCTCTGGAAATGAAGGAGCGGGTCTCAACCTAGTTGGTTGACCTGGCGATACCTCCGAAGAGAGGGGCGATTGTTTTCAAATGTTTGGTACCCTCAAACCGTTTCCACGATTCCTGCTCTCCCGGCAGGATTGACAAATAATGCCAAGAGGTTGAAATCAATATTATCTTGGGGAGGGCAGGGGCCAACCTTGGAACGCGGAGCAAATTTAGATGCAGATGAAGAGATAGCTTTGGCTTAACCTCTGCACGGCAGGGCCTTTTGGACTTAAATCTTTCGGCGCTCGGCTATTCTCCCCTAGCTCCTCTCCCTTTTTTTTCCCTCAGCAGTCTCCCCGGCTTGGGGGCGCTCGGTGTTTGGCCCAGTCGCCTGTCGCCTGGTAGTGGGACCGGAAGTTATTCCGGAGGGGGGGAATGGCCGTAATAAGGGGGTCTCTGTGGGGGGGCCGGTCCCTCCTCAGGTGAAGCCCCTGACGGAGATGGAGCCGCCACCCCTGAGCGCCCGGATCCCGGCTTCGGCCTGGCTGCCGCCGCCTCAGTAACCCCATCCCCCCCCCCGCGCTGGGCCACCTGGGCCAGAGTGGGGGACTCGCCACCCCTCTTCCCACCCGACACCGCCCTTCTCCCCCAACCCCCAACAGCCTGCGCGCGCGCGGAGACGCCTCAGGTGAGTGAGGGGCGGGGCCCGCGAGGGGCGGGGGCGGGGCCTGGCCTTCGGGGCGGGGCTTTAGCTTGGAGTCGAGCTGGGGAGTCGCAGCCTGGGGGAGGGGCGGGCTGGGTCTGAGGAGCAGGAGCTTGTCTGCAGCACCTTGGCCAGAGACCTCAGAATTGGGGATTGGTCGGAAGACAGGAACTGACCTGTGGGAGGCTCCTGTGTGGGGAAGGGCTAGGATGGAACAGAGGGACAGAGGGACAAACAAAGCGACCGAGTACCAGAAAAAGCAAGGTGCCCGCGGGCTTCATTGAGAATGTTGGAGGAAAAGGCTAAGGCCTGCCTAGGACTGTCTCCAGGAGGCCGTGACAGAGAGGGAGAAACAACAGAATGGAGCCTGTCTGCCCTACTATTTGGGTGAGAAGCATAGGGAACCTGAGAAGCAAGGCTGGGAAGGAAAAAAATAATCCACAGACGAAGCCCTATGGTAAACCTCTGGATGGGAGCTACATAAACGGGTGGCAAAATGCCTCTTTCTAAATATTAAAACCATCCTCATACAGATCCATCTCGGCTTTTTACCCTTTATCTGCTAGAGTTGTTTAGTGGTTTGCTAGGTTGGTTGGTTGGTGAAGTAGCGTGTGTGTGTGTGTGTGTGTGTGTGTGTGTGTACAACTGCGTGCCAGCACCAGGACAACTTTGAAGCTAGTACTCTCTTTCCATCTTTATGTGAGTTCCAGGGATTGAAGTGATGTCTCCAGGCTCTCAAGGCAAATGAACCGTGGTTGATTTTTTGAGACAGGGTCTCGTGTAATCCGGGCTGGGCCTGAACCATGAAACTCATGATGGCCTCTAACCCCTGAACTTGTGGTGATTCCCCTACCTTGGCTTCTGAATGCTGCAGCTGCAACTGTGATGTTTTTCTGTGGGGTTTTGCTTGTTTGGTTGGTTGATTGGCTAGTTGGGGCTTTGGCTGGTTGATTTGTTTGAGACAGTCTCACTATACAGCCCTCATTGGCAGGAAACTCACGCTGTAGACCAGGCGGGCTTTAAACTCACAGAGATCCATTCATCTGCCTCTGCCTCCTGATTGCAGGAATTAAAGGCAAGTGCCACCATGCTCAGCTGTTGGTTTTAGGCCAGGATCTCATGTTTTCTAAGAAGGCTTCATTTTTGCTATAGCTAAGGATCGTTTTGAACTTCTGAGCCTTATGCCTCCATTTCCCAAGTGTTGGGATTACAGGCCCTCATCATGTGAGTCTTGCTATTTGTCTTATTTAAATCATGACTAGTAGCCCTTTCGTGGGATAAGTGGAATGCTCAATGGAATGTGGACTTTTTTTTTACGGGGGAGGGGGCTCGAGACAGGGTTTCTCTGTTGCTTTGGAGCCTGTCCTGGAACTCGCTCTGTAGACCAGGCTGGCCTCGAACTCACGGAGATCTGCCTGCCGTGGGGCGGTGGTGGCGCATGCCTTTAATCCCAACACTCGGGAGGCAGAGGCAGGCGGATCTCTGGGAGTTCAAGGCCAGCCTGGTCTACAAGTGCTAGTTCCAGGACAGGCTCCAAAGCTACACAAAGAAACCCTGTCTGGAAAAAAGCAAACAAAAAGAAATCTCAAAGCCTACCCCCAGTGACACACCTTCTCTAACAAGTCCACACCTAGTCTTTCTAATCCTTCCAAATAGTGCCGCCCCCTAGTGACTAAGTATTCAAATACATGATGAGCCTTTGGGGACCATGCTTATTCATAAAAAATAATATTAAGGGCTGAAGAGATGGCTCAGAGGTTAAGAGCACTGACTACTCTTGCAGAGGACCTGAGTTCAGTTCCCAGCAACCACATGGTGGTTCACAACCATCTATAAGGAATCTCCTGTACAAAAATAAAATCTCCTTGTATTCAAGTTTAAAAAAAACAAAACAAAACCTGCCTTGTTTGGTGGGTGTCTATATAACGCCCAGCTAGTGATTCCTCACCTCTTTGTGGGTAGTAGTAGGTCACAGTCTTCCTTGGTGGTGTACACTTTAGCCTTCCAGGCAGCTCCTTAGTTTGTAAGAATACAAGAGGACCAGACTGTGGTGGCACACGCCTTTAATCCCAGCACACACGAAGCAGAGGCAGGTGGATCTCTGTGAGTTCAAGGCCTGGTTTACAAAGTAAGTTCCAGGACTGTTTCACAGACAAACCGTGTCTCAAACCAACAAACAAAGAATAGGAAGAGGAATGGGCGCCTCAAACCAAAATTGTCTTAGGAGAAACTGAGTTTTCCAGAAGAAGCAGGGGAGGCTTCTCTGGAGCTTCTTCAGTGAACTCGCAGGGTGATCAGAGCTGACTTTGTGCGAGCAGCTTCAGAACTTCATGTTGCCCCAGCCGATAGAAATTGGTGCCACAAACACGCTGATGTCTAAGGGCAGTGAGTTCAAGCCCAGCTTCTAAAAAATCCCCTTCACCTCAGAAAATTAAGAGTAACACATATTCCAAGACGTGACCTTTTTTCCAAACTCGTCACTTTTGAAGCCAAAGATTATCTCTTTCAGGTATCTTGACTTGGGGAGGGTGGCAGAAAGTTGGGGGATACAGAAAATACTGTCTTCGGTGGCAATGCCAGACAGAAATCCCTGATACATGCTGGTCCAAAGAGTCCACTGTTGTTTTTGCAACTGAATTTTTCTTCTTATTTCCTCTTAGTTTGAAATCTGTGAACTTATACTTTCTTTTCAGCATGGGAGAAACTTACCCCATGTTTCCCCGCCCCCCATGTCCCACCCACAATCCACAAAAGAATTCTTTTTGTTGTTGTTGTTGTTTTTTCGAGACGGGGTTTCTCTGTGGCTTTCGAGCCCGTCCTGGAACTAGCTCTGTAGACCAGGCTGGTCTCGAACTCACAGAAATCCGCCTGCCTCTGCCTCCCGAGTGCTGGGATTAAAGGCGTGCGCCACCACCGCCCGGCTAAGAATTCTTTTCTCTCTAAGTGTCGTACACTTTATCCGCCTTACTTCCACTCCCTGTTTACATACAATGTGTGGGTGCGCACATCCACGCTGCTCGCTAAGGACGCTAACGAAGGATAAGCCTTGTTGGCAGGTGCATCTAGCCTCGATTCATTCATTTTGCCTGTAAAACAATACGGTGTCAGAGGCGGGGGAGCCTCCCTTTCCCTATGGGTCTCATGCTTCTGCCAGCTGGAGACTCGGCTGGATTTGACTGCCAAGCTGTTGATTTGCCCCTTCTTCTCAGAAGCATCGTAGACTTTGTCCTGGAAACGGAGAGACAGGGTCAAAGTTTGCCAGACGAAAACATCTAAGAACGTGGTTCCTAGGTAAGACGGACCTTGTCGGTACTTGTCAGCACCAACCTTACGCTGGCTGGTGCTGCTGTTAGCATAAGAAGATCCAGTGTGTACCGGTTTGTCATTGTTCTCGAGTCCACAGTTTCTGAAAAGACACAAGAAGACTAAGGGGGATTATTCTTTATAAATCTTGTGTTTCCAGTTCAAGGATTTAAGTCCCTGATCAGAGACCTAAAAACCGTCCACCGGCTAAGTGTGAGACTGAAGTTCCGCTCTCCAGTTTCCACAGAAACGCCAGCAGAGGTGGCTCACGCCGTAGTCCAGCACACGACACAGACGTGGGAACCCCGGGACAAATTGGCTCACACATTGGCTAAATTAGGGAGCTCTGAGTTTGACTGAGAGACCCTGACCCAGTACACATATGGGGGAGAAAGAATGACACCCAACAACACTCTGGGCTCCATGTGCACGGTACTCACACGCATGCACCCGTAGGAATGTGAACGCGCATACATTCACACATACTGAGAAACAAAACAGAGCTTCCCAAGCTTTCCAACTGGGACAAGATTAAACGCCACGGTAGAAACCTCTACTCCATTTCTGATACTTGTTAACCAGATAAGTGGCTTTGGGCTTGGTTTGGTCTCCAAAAGATTAGGGATCAACTTTCAGCTCCGTTCCATCTCTAAGCTCTGGAGGCCTCTGCCTTGGGCCTGGTTCAGGAAGTAAAGAGGCTTACCAAAGTAGCTTACCACAAGCAAGAATCTTCGTTACCCAAGGAGCCTGGAACCGTCTTTTCTGGCCCAAGCTACAGTGAGCTCTTCAGAGCAGCACGCACCGGGGAACTTCTGGCCAGGTTCATACCAAAGGCAACATTTGCCACCTTTTCAAAGCTCTACCACCCTGCTCCAATCAAGGCACTTATGTGATTCCAGCCACCTACTTGTGAAATCTTTGTAGCACAAATCAATGCCAGCATGCTTACACACAACTACAACCCGTCCGAATACGCAGGAGGCTGATGCAGGAGAATTGCTGTGATTATAGGCCAGTGTAGGCTGTAAATCCCAGACTAGGTTGGACTCCATATCAAGACTCTGTTGGTCAGGTGAGACGGCTCCGCAGGTCAAGGCACATGCTGCCAAGCCTGACGACTTGCATTCTGTCCTGGAGCCGCACGGTGGAATGAGAAAACCAACTCCGCCGGTTGTCTTCCGGCCTCCACACGTGCTCATACACAGTCACAAAAGTAAAAATAAGAAAAATGTAATTTAGGAGCTAAGAGAGATGACTCTGTGCTTAACAGCACAGGCTGCTCCTCCAAAGGACCAGGGTTCAATTCCCAGCCCTGATGTGGTGTGGCTCATCTTCTGTAACTTCAGTTCCAGGAGATCTGACACCATCTTCTGCCCTCCTTGGACACCAGGCACACGTGTGGTGCACAGACATACATGTATTCAAAAAATACATACACATAAAATAATAATTGAAAAAAATCTTACTGTAATTAAAAAAAAGAGAATTCTGTCAGAGGGCACCTGCAAGCTGGCTCAGCAGGTAGAAGTGTTTGCCACTAAGCCTGACACCCTGAGTTCAAGCCCTGGAGCCTACATGGTAGGAGGAGAAAACTGACTCTTAGGAGGAAACTTAGAGCATCCCCTCTTGTGCTGTAGCGTAAACGCCCACACACATATACACACAAAGCAAAATTTTAAAAT